CGGTGGCTAACTAATGTATCGAGCCAGTGCTATCCTCCAACACAAGTCTGGTAACAATTTTTCGACCCTGAGGGGATAGAAGGCTAGGTGGGTCATGGGCGCCGGGATTGATCCCACGTGTGTGTTGCAGGGCGCTTCCGACCACTGCGCCACACTCGCAATATCGAAGGCTTCATCATTTATTCTTTGAATGTGAACTTGTGATCGTTTTATCATAAGTTTCTCCGGAAGGAAAAGACTATTAAGAACGAACTAAGTGACATAGTTAACAGCCAAATTGAAGAAAAAATCTTTGGAAGGAAGTAGCAATTTGTAAGTTAGAGGTGAACGACTTCCTATAAATGGCGTCGCATGTGCAGGTGTAATTACGCTGGTCGGATGTTCGTATGAAGAAACTCAGTGAGTAGAAAGAGATTCGTAGTAAATTACGCGTAAGGAGCTCAGCAATATAAACATGTTTCCTACAGAACAGCGACGATGATGACACCTGCGCGTACGGCAATTTGTACAATGAGGTCCAGTCTCAAAAAGCAAAAGATACCGTAAGAGAGAAGAACACAGCTACAACGAAGAACGAAAGGTAAACATAAAAAGGAAGAAAAAACGCAGTAGTGCTGCAAGAGATTAGTCAGTACAAAAAATAAAAAGCACTGTTTGGCACTGGTTAGTCGATTAGGGATACGCAATGCGTTCATGTCGATTCGTAGCATCATAGAGATGTTTGAATGAGTATTTGGCCCACAAAATTGTTTGCGGAGAATATTAGCATACTATTAGTTACTAATATTAGCCAGTTCTGCTATCCTTCCAATACAAGCCTAGTACCAATTTTCGGGATCTGGAGAGATAGATAACTTGGTTAGCTTGCACTGTGGAATCGAAGCAAAGACCACATGTATATTGCACCGCAGATCTCAGCGCTGCGCTACATACGCAATGGTTTGGGATCATAAAATTTGCAGAGAAAAGACTTCTAAAAAAGTTTTTCAACTTACTCAATGAATTATCGAACAGCTCCTATCCCCTTTGTGCAACTTTTGACGTACAGGCAATGATAGGCAGTATTATGTGTTTCTCTTCTCCATTGTTTGGAGAAAATTTGCGTTCTTCTTCTTTGCACTCCTAATTTATAGCATTCTTTAAACTTTAATCTGGTCGAATATTTAGAATGTCAGAGAGGAAATAAAATAATATCTAAACAGGAAGTGCATGTGAAAGTTTTCGTGAATTTCCTTACTATGAATCGTCGGGGCGCGTGTACCGCTGGTCGGAGACGGCACCCTGCAACATACACGTGGAATTAATCCCTGCGCCCATGGCTCACTAAGTCTTCTACCCCTCCGGGGTTGGTGAATTAGAATCAAATTTATCGGGGAGGATAGCAGTACTGGTTCGCTATGTTGGTAAGCCACGGCGAGTCATTGCAAAGACCGGATATTGCATTCAATCACCTCCAAGAGATGCTTAGTAAAGTCGAACGTATGGAGTACCCCTCAACGGTTGATCAACGCTGAGAGCTTTATCCTTTCTTTATGAGCCGTCGTACTATTAAATAAAGGTGTGAAGAAAAAACAAAACGTATAGAAACACTATAGAAAACTGCGAAACTGCAGGAATGACGTTGATTTACTGAAACATACTTGTAGAGGGGCAGGCGAAGTGCAGTGGTTAGAAGTGCCTACACAGAGTTTCGAACACTCGCCACTAACTAACCAGTCCTCCATTCCTCTGGTGTCGTAAACTAGGTATAGTGCCCGTCTAGAAGCATTAGAATCAATGACATTTGTTATAGAATAAAAAGAAAAAAGTTGGAACAAAAGACAACCTACGCCCTAATATGTAAGGAAAATGTGCAGGAAAGGCTATCACAAAGGTGAGTATCGACGGTGGTGGACTTCTAATCTAAACCGAGTAACTGGTTAGAATGATAAATTGCAGTAGAGTCATCGTTTTTAAGCGAAAGCAAAGATTGCACTTTCAAACAATTGTAGCATTACGCTAATGTTCGATTGATTAATGTGCTGAAAAGAGAGTGCATACAATTTTTGCGTGTAGATGTTGCCGAGTTAAGCTAGTAGATAAACCACAGTGCTACTCATTTCCTACGCAGCTGATCCTCGCGCCAATTAACTGAACTCCTTAGAGTTGCGGAGGTAAATCATGAGCCTGGAAGGCTGTGCGAGTGGAAGGTCGTCGAACCCTCGACGGATAGTGAGCTACTTCTTTGTGTTGTTCTACGTCACCGCAACATAAACAATGAAAGTGAATTATCACAAAAAAATTAATTTATTGAGCCATCTATCGCTTTCTTTTATGTTGGATTCGCCTGCTGTTTATCCTTCTTTTTAATGGTTCATGAGAATAGCAAAGAGGTTAAAGTGTCTTGCATGTTTGGCTTGTTTGTTCAGTCCTTTAGGTGCAGACTAGCTCTGTTCTGCACGCCTTCAGGTTCAGTAAATCGTTACCAGAATTACCCGAAGGATGAAGTAAGTGGCTTGATGCATTCGATAGACGCCCAAAAGTCGTAGTGTAGGCCGGATATGCACTGATTCATAATTGCGGTGATGCAAATGGGGTCTAAGGCATGGTGCATCCCCAAGGGATTGATCAAAGTTAAACATGATACGCTTTATGAGAAAATCAGCTATCTGATTTTGTTTCGAACACATTACAGCGCTTTATCGGCAACCATAGCCGCCTAGGCGATAAAATAATCGGGAGAGACCCGTATAGCGTAAAATTCATGTGTTGAGCACTCATTTTTCCCAATTAAATCGTGGTTGCGTGATTTCGCAAAGAAAAAACCAGAAACCAGTTAATGGGTGCGGCTCTACTTGGCTAAACCACAAAGTTGACCGCACCGAGTTTACGCGCTCACCTTGAATTGTGAACTCATACAAAATCAGAAAAACTCAAGAAAAAAAACACTCAACATAACGGAGAAGATTTTGAAGTAGGGGTTACGATCCTCGCGCAAGAATCGACAACACGGGGCGTAAGACTCTAGAGGCATTCTGGATTAATTCCAAGAATCCGGAAATGAACCGCAGGGAGAATGCCTCATTATCATGCGTGATATTGGGCAGTATATAGGCTTGTTATTTTGATAAGATAGGCACAATACGTTTCTGTGTGAACTCTGTGCGGTTGGTCTCCACGTGACATCTTTGGTGGAAGACTCATAAAAAGTGGTGAGTATGCAAAGACTCTGTGTTCAATGTGATTGAAATTTTGGTTCAGCATTTTCTCTGTTTGGTTATGGAGATGTTTGGTGTAGATTACAGTCAACTTTACCGTTTCAGGCTCTGATCTGAGGACGGCGAAACCCGCCGAAAGTACGTAAATAAAGAAATAAAATAACACCTCGTGTTTGCTGAACAGAAGTGGAAAGAAAAAACTCAGTTCGTCGAGCAATCAAAGAGACGAGCCGTGCATTCGGCTTCATTCGTATCACCTTAGAAGTGACTGAATGCATGGGTTCATCCAGTGACTTGATGATTTGTGGTGGTACCAAGTCAGTGCTAATGTCCTCTCAAAAAGGTCTAGTACCATTTTCCTGGCCCGAATAAAAGCCTGGTGAGCCCTGAACATGGGATCAGAGTAGTGACTCGGCACGTATTACAGGCAACCTCTAAACACTCTACACACGCTCAGAAAACTTGCACTTTTATCAATTTGTTGCAAATTAAAGGCTGCTCAAAGGCTTCACCATTCACACGAAAACGACAACTGATTAAAACGAAGATCGGGGCTGTTTAGATGAAGACCGTTGAAACATAACTACTGCTGGACACAGCTGCCTTGCATGCGCTTCAATGTTTTTCGAAAGTCGTACCGACAGTTTATCTTCACAGAACCTATCAACGTCATACTGAACATGCATAGAAGAAGTGCTTGGTCAGTAGGACATGTGAAAAACGGATTGACTTGATCTAAGTAACTAATTAAGCAAATAATTTCGAAAGTCTTGCGATTAGGAAGAAAACTTTGAAGAAGTGAAGACATGACTTGTCTCTTAGAAAGCAGCTGAGAGCAAGAACCTCCAACGAACTCATCTTCCTCAAAATTGAATCAAATGTGTCGCGGTTACTCTTATGGCGCATTTTTTTTTCTGAGATTCCTTTAACAAATTCCAGCCTTACACGCGCGTGGCTGTTCTGGATTGTCACAAATTATATCAAACACAGAGTGACAGCTGATAGAGTGCTGATTAGAACGCTCATGTTGTCATTCATACCCCAAAGATCCGCGCTAAATTGAAATCTGCTTTCGGCCTTGTTTTTCATTCTTGTTACTGTTATCATAGTTGATTGTTATTAAAAAAAAACATATTAAAAGCAAACGAAGCATAGGTAAGTCTCAATTTATAAAATACTCGACTCTACTCAGTAGTCTCATGGGTGAGTCCCATTCTGCAATTCAGTCAATACAACTCGGTCTACAGCTGATACTGCTTCATCAAGTTCACCATCGATGGCCCACTTCTCGTTAAGTTATCGTTCTCCATATGAAATCCTCCCAACGGTTTACCGTTCCATCGTGGCTGGAAGGTGCCCATGGGTGTCGGGCTGCGGTGTACAGCCAGCGGGTGGATTCATTCCCCTGGCGGGGTCTCCCAAGCTGAGAAGGAGCCCGGAGTTTCCATCAGAAAGCCTAGCTAAGAGTAAAGTGGTGCCAGGATCTCCCATCGTGCTGGTATCAAATTAGTCGCACGGTAGCAAATCTCTCTGATCCGCAAGGGCTGCGACTGCCTGGTGTGGCGACGATCTGGGGCAGACTTTGGCCAGGCTGACCTCGGGATTCCAGGGAACTACAATGGCTAAATAAGCAAATCTCCTAAGAAATGGAGATTATGCTGGGGTCCACACGATCAGTGAGGACGGGCTATCCAAGTAAATGCCCATATGAAATTAGTAGTCTGGCTGTCTAGCTAACTGCAGGTGTCAGTACCAATCTTTCCGACTCGAATTATTTCTCTGTACAAGAATTGTTCATTACAGCAGACACCGGCCCTGTACAGTTGCGAAAAGGAACATTAATTGGAAAACGGTGGAAAATTATGAAGAAATTAGGCGAAGGTGGTTGCGGTGCTGTCTACAAAGTGCAGGATATTAAAAATGCAGGATTCCAGGTTAACATCTCTCATAAAGGCTTCAGACTAACTTTTTTACCAGCTAGCTTAATCCCCGTGGTCGATGATAGCACTTTGAATTCGTACGTGAACAACAAGCTAGTCCATGAATATGCACAACGAGATCAACTGCAACTAATTCACCACCAAATGCAGTAACACATCGTGTGGCAAAAGATCAGGGTTACAAAAGCAATGGTTATAAAACTGCTTACTGGAGAAAGACTCCTATTAACAAAGTTTGTCCTCTTTGAACTTGTTAAGAAACTTCTTTTCACATATTAAACAGGCTGGTTGCAAATCAATCCGTCCTTCCAATTGTTCACTTGGTGAACTTCGAGTCGTTTTGAGAATTTCTTATTTCATACTCTGTCTACGATAAGTAAAGAAAGCTGACCACTGATGGTCTTCACGTCTCCAGTGAATTCCTTCATCTACTTTCTGGACAGCCATCATATGGAAATTGAAGAAAGTTTAATGCCAGTGTCTACTGAAACAAACACGCAACTATGGGTCTGGTTTGGAATTTCTGATGTCTTACACAATCAAATAATCGACCTACTCTCAAGAATTGTTGTGGACGGTCTCTTAATGAAGAATAAAGGATAAAGCTTAGTCAACCCCTGAGGCATGTGCCTAGAACTCGAAGTCGTCAAGCATTATTAGAGTAACAGAATTCATTTATGACCTTTCTACTTCTGTTCAGCAAGCACGAGGCGCTATTTTATTTCTCTATTTATTTACGCACAAGCTGACTCTTAGGCGGATTTCATTTATGACCTATGCGTGACTTGTTCTTGGTTTGTCGCCTGAAATCATTTTCCTCTGCGTTTTTGCCCAGCTGAGATTTCGCTGATTCTAACAGCTTCGTCTGCCTGTACAGATGTAGATCTACCAGCAAAGCTCTTCTGCAATTGACATTATTACTAACCATGTTAAACGTGCTGCAGTTGGATCGCGCTTCAATTCTCTTTCCTTATCAATCAACTCCTTCGTGATATGATCTCATGGGGAGATGCGATCTCATCTTTTTGTTTGAGGAATTGGTGCTATTTCGGCAGAACTTCTAAGCCCTTCGACAGCAGGTCGTAGTCTTCGGTCAAGTTTTAAAGCGCCGTTCACGATGGATAAGATATAGTTCAAAACGTTTTCGTTTTATACAGCTGGACCCTTTCTTCTTAATCGATGACAGGAACGTTTTCCAACATACGAATGAATCGAATCTTTGTGCGGAGAAGGCGATGATAGGACCCAGTACAGAATGACCAAGCTAGCCATGTATCAAGTAGCCACCATCTTCTGTTTGTGAGAATATGATCGATCTACCAATGAGTCGTGCCGTTAGGAGACTGCCATGTCCAGCTACTACGGCTTTCTTTCTTCTGGAAAAACAAGTTTTCATGGAAGATACGTGCTGCAGACAAGAGCTCTGTAAAACTGTGCACACTCTCATTTCTTTCCTCTAATCCAACTTTTCCAACTTTGTATTCGCTTTCGTTAACCTTTCCTATACTGGCGTTGAAGTCTACGGCAATAAATGTGTAATACCAAGTGTCATTTCGGATAACTTCCACCAACCGATGGTAGAAGTGACACTGTTGGTAACCGATTTATCTGAACATAATTCTTAACTTAAAAGCTGTCAAAGGGAATATCCAGTACAGTCGCTATTTCTCCAGCTTCTAGATTTTATACTAAATAAAACAATGAACACTTTGGACTAAAAATCATGGATTACGTTAGTAGCTAAACTAAAATCAATGCGATGTTACTGCAGCAGTCTTGAAACAACGTGGTTTTGTGAGCAGTGTTCGTTCTATTTGATCGAAACAGTTTACAATACTGTTGTGACTTTAGTGTAGTACGATAGCATCAAACAGACCTATGGTGTGGAGCGCCTTCAGATTTCTGTTGGTTGGTAAACAATCGAAGTATCATCTTCTAGATTAAGAGGAATATACCAGTTTAATGCGGATAACCATCTAATGGAAATGCCTCGAGATATACTTTAAATCAACCAGTTTTGCTAAAAATCGGATTCAGAATTTTGCACACACAATGAAGAGTAAAATAGCTTAACTAACCGTAGTGGCAGCATGGGTACTATCATTGCGTCGTTGCAGCATAGTCGTTGCTCTATGATACAACCAACTGTCCACAATGCCCCCAATATTATCGATGTACTTAGTTAAAACCAAATGAGCATTTTTCTAGGCTGCATTGAAAGCTGAGTCAAATTTTGTAGCCGGTGGAACCGTACTGAAGCTGGAAGTACAGGTAACTGCGGTTCTCTCTCGTACTACCGTCACCATCAGTGTTATCGGTATGATTTTGTTCCGTGTTTTAGGTTCTTCGTCGTTTAACCGGACTACTACATGTTCCGCAATTACTACATGCCGGTAAAAAAGAACAATATTGTTACATGGTAATGACGTTACTGGGTGACAGTCTTGTTACCTTACAGAGGTTCGCATCCTGCCCGTTAGGCATGAGGTTGTAAAATTTGTACCAAAACACTCCCATATTTTTATCATTTTTGAATTATACTTGCATCTTCGCAGATCTATGAAGATATGTCATCAATGCCGCTGTAATAGCAAGATTATCGACAGAACTAGCTGGAAGACAGGCGAAACGAAAGACCCACATGGTGTGCTGGCGACCGCGTTAGACCCCGGAAAGGGTAACAAATAGCGCGTTCGTACCCCACCCGCAGACACCTGCGGACCGGAGTTTTGCAAATATCTCAGCACCATTGTGGAAGTAGAGTGTTTTCGAAAATACTGCAGATGTTGTGAAGCTGTCTATGCTCATACAGAAATGTTTCTGTTTTAGGAAAGTTGGTCGGGTTTCAAGTATATCAACACAAACTCGAGTGGGAATAAACATCCTCTTTGGAGTGAAACAAATCCATGATGTAGGCAAAAAACATCCTGCATTCCTCCCAATTTTCCTAGGAGGCCATGATCTACATGGATTCAATTTGCTAAACTTCACAAGAAGAAAGACGAACAAAATTCCACGCGCCATTCAGGTCGGCTTCGTTCATCGGGATTTGAAACCGGCAAATGTAGCCGTCGGACAGGCCAACACCCCGGCCTACCGATTTCTACATATTCTAGATTTTGGTCTCTCTCGCGAATACATCGTGATGGATGAGAATAAAAAACTGCAAATGAGAAGGCCTCGGCCTAGAACTCTATTTCGGTATGTCGATATGTTGTGGTACTAAGATTGTTATAATTCTCAGCTTCGTTATTTCGTCAAAGAAATTGGCGCCTTAAGAACCCATTCAGACACTAATTTCTCCTAACACGTAGGAGTTGGCGTGAGTGGAGATCCACTCACAGAAAATGCGGCAATAAACTAAGCATCAAATGCTGATGCCTGATCCAGACTGATTTAAGCGTTGGTCCCTTATTTTATAATAGAGTACGCCGATGGCAAGAAGAAAACAATAAAGGAAGAGCTGAAATACTCGGTGCTCATCAATTCTTCAGGAAGCCACCATGCTATTTAGCAGTAGAGTTCACAGAATGAATAATAATGCAGAGTAGCGCAACGACTAGTTAGTTTGATCAGTCGTTGCTATCCGTCTCCTCGAGTCTCGAAGGTAGATCTATTGTGATGTCGACTACTTGAGAGATCTATGCCATAGAGACGTTACCCTCCAACGTTTTTATTCCTAAAGTCGTTTTTCATTTATTACAGTGGCACAACTCGATACTGTTCCATCAATACACACAATAAAGGTGAACAAGGACGAGTGGACGATCTATGGAGCGTATTGTATATGCTAGCCGAGATGCGAGACACTTTACCGTGGAACGGTCTGAGGTCGACTCTCGTTTCCTTAATCAACTTTTCTCTATTACACGGCTCGAAATCACAAATATCTTATTTTTACCGGTCATTTGATTCGTTTTCTGGCATCCATGGAGGTCTTCGGATTTGCGCGTGGTTGCGACTTCTGCTTAAGGAATTTGCTCTTCTTAATGAATTGCCCTTGAATGCTGGACGAGTAGCTTCTCTTTGAAATTCTGGATTAACTGTAAAACGATGCTGCTGCTAGGCGTTTATCACGGGAAGTGGCCAGCTCTTGTGGATTAAAAAGAGCACTTCCCAGACATACCTGGTGGTAATCTACCGACCGCGGAGGGATGGAGAGTGCGAGTGTAGTCAAACGGCTTCTAACACAGCGCTTCTCATGCACTCCTTTTTTCAGTTATTTTCTGAAACTTATATGTTTTTATCAAACCCCATACTTAATTGTTTACAATGAAACCAGCTCATTGCAATTTGAAGAGAAAAGAAGGACATTTGCGAGGTGAAAACGAGGACCACTCATCAGGAATTGTTACGAAACAGCCCTGTTCAACTAGTGAAATTCGCGGATTATCTCCAGTAAGACCACTTTTTTCGTTCTTGTAGATTAGTTCCTTGGAATGCATCAGACGCCTTTCTCAAATTGTTCATTAGCTACTAACAAAAACAGTTGCCGTTTTGGAAAATGTCCATGGAACATTTTTGAATTAGGAATAATGCAAGGAAAAGATGAGAAAGTTTGGCTTACTGATACTGAAAGCCAAAAAATAGTATATTGCTCAGATTTTCAATTCCATTGTACCGTTTAATTTTAGAACCTTAAACTACTACAGTCATCCGGATTACGCTGAACTACATCGTTACCTAATGGAAGTAATGAAGATTGGAAACTTTAAGTTGGTGACATTCTGGCCTGGCTCAATGCTTATACTTGAAACGATGAATTGAAAGTCATCAGTATTTTTACCACTCCAGAAGCAGTTCTTCCGAGCTCTTGGGTTCTTATATGCGCATATACAGAGTGTGACTTCGTTTTCAACAAGAAGGATGTTTATATAAGATTGCCTCATGGGAGATAGTATTGAATCCTAAAAACGTCTTTTGCTCAGTAAAGTCCTCCACTTTGACAATCTGCTTTCTTGGTCTCCTAGGTAGTATAATAAGAATTGTAGGGACATAGACTGAACAGTATTTCATGCTTTATTGATGAGCCGTCACTGCACCTCGATTTCCGTATTTCATCATATTTTAAGCGACTTAACGAAATCTCGATGCTTTCATATCTAAGCGAACTCTTAGATCAATTGCTACCAATATCAAGTGCTCGAATGTCGGATGATATGGCTGTATTATGTCTAATGGGTATAACTGTTCTTGACACTTTGCTCCTACAGGAACACATAGCATTGGTTAGCACACATGTTTAACGCAGATTGACTAAGTGATACCTGAAATCGTGCACTGTGTATCATTTATAAAACATGAAATACTTCTTGGATAGAAGAAATCCTTCCCAGTAGTGTTTAATGTAATCTGTAATAGTCGCATATTTTCTATTAGTATGCTAATCCTTCCGCCTTCCCTCCTTCCGCTACTTTTCCTAAAAACACTTGCTTTCTCTTCACACGCTACCTGTTTGAATGCAAGGCCCCTACTTAGTGGAAAACCATCAAGACCGTGCTATCATTCAGCAAGGTGACCTCCACGATATCTATTAACTATCGACCAATTTGCCTACTTTCCGTCGTCTACAAATTTTTCACTCGAGTTGACATGATTGACAGAACACTAGACGAAGTACAGCCATGTAGCAAGCAGAATTTCGAAAAGGATTCACTATGATGGGCCATATCCATGCGATAACAAGACTAACCGAAGTATCGCGAGAGTACAAAAGACCGCTCTATCTCACTTTCATCGATTTGAAGAAGGCCTTTGATTCAATTGAGATAGAAGCAGTCATGGAGGTCCTTGACAGTCAAGGAGTCCCTACTCAGTGCATAAAGACTTTTCGTGAGCTGTACAAAAATATCACAACCACGATATCACCATTCTACAACGATATTAACATTGACGTCAAAAGATGAGTTAGGCAAGGCGATACCATCTCGCCAAAATTATTTACCGCCACACCCAGAACGTCATGCGAACATTGGAATGGGATAATATGGGTGTGAAAATCGGTGGGCGGCAGTTGCAGCATCTTCGCTTTGCTGATGACATCGTCCTTATGACACCAAACATTAGCCAAGCGGAACGAAAGATTACCGACTTTGATGAATCGTTTGGAAAATTGGTCTTCGACTAAATCTCACAAAAACGATGTTCATGAGGAACGGACTGGTTTCGTATGCCCCATTCACGCTCAAAATAATGAATGTCTCCGAATGCTCCAGTTATGTCTATCTAGGTCGGGAAATCAACATGATGAACGACTTAACCTCAGAGTTAGCAGAAGAAAGTGGACGGCTTGGGGAGCTTTCAAGAGCATCGTGGATGTAGTGAGGAAAACAAGCAACACCCGACTCTATGCCTACCTTTTCGACTTAACAGTACTTCCTGCTTTAACATATGCGTCCGAAACCTAGTTGCTGCTTAATCAGGATGAAAAGTCACTCACCGTTATTGGACACACAGTTGAAAGGACGATGCTAGGAGTATCCCGTTTCACACAAGTAAGGGAAGAGACCCGAAACTCCGACCTGCGCCTAAGATTAAAAATCAAAGATGCCGTTCTATACGCCAAACTGTTGAAGATAAGGTGTGCCGGACACTCAATTCGTATGGCCGGCCGGCGATGGAAGAGAGCCGTTAGTGACCGGATTCATCGGAATGTCAAATGCACTGCAGCAAGACCACTCACCCAAGTGTCAAAGTTCTACATGAAAAGCATAGAAGAGAGGCATGATACTTAATGAATCCGTAGAGAGAGCAGAACCCACTGGGCTGCTCTTGCATGTTTCGGGGAAAAATGGAAGATTTATTGGCTCCCGCTCGAGTTACTCGATGAACAGCAAGATGACAGATAATAGGTAATGCTAATCCTGGAAAACACGTGTAGCATAATGGTTCAGAGGTGTTTTGCAATGCATAAGCCGTGCCTCCCACATCTTTGTGGTAATGAATGTGTGACCATACTTCTCTTGGAAGACAAAAGCACTGACCTGTCAGTAAACTTATTAAGTTCCGCAATTCATTGTGTAAGCCAGATATGAAATTAACCACCTTTACGATTCTACAGATGGGTTCGAATGCATAGCACATCCCACAGAGACTTATCAACTTCAGGCGTTCTATCTTTTTGGTCACCCTAATTTCTAATCCATCACAGTTTCCTTTTAACTTGAAAGTATGAAAATATTATTCTGCCTTAGACTAGGATACCAAGATTAGTCGTGTCTTCAAGCAAGCGAGCAACTACAAGCAACAGTAACATTCCATAAGATTTTACGGTGTTCTTAGAACACTGCAACTCAACACATTCAACTCATATTTGTTAATCTAGTTAATGTCAGATTCACGGATCCATATGATTGGGAACCGAAGCGTTGCAAAGATTCTAAAATACTCAGAGGAAAGACGGCCACAACGATAAGCACAACAAAGCAAGTTTTCAGAACTTAACTACTTACCTGCTTTAATCTTTAAAAAAATCTTCCCTGCTTACACTCATAGGTCACCTGGTTACCTTCTTAAACTTCATTAGAAGTCTAACTTTCCGTTTCGAATAGAATTATATATCAATGCGTGTACACGCGCATTTCCGCTACTTGCTAAAGTTTCCTATAGGGTCAGGCAACCATGTTCTTGCTCTTCTTGTGAGCATTGCAGTCGTAAGGATCCATGTTCCCGGTTAAACTGTGTTTTAACATTTCGACAGCTTGTGATATGCATAGGGTTAAAATTTTTGTGAGGATGAAACCGGATACTCGTGATAAGCTCCCAATAGTGCATTCGATGACGAAAAATTCAACGACAATTATGTGATCCTGTCATTCAGTTTGCCTCCACTTGATCAGTTTTGGAACAAAGCCGCTTATCATTTTATCATAACTCAGGTACAGATGCTAGATTTAATGAAAGGTTGAGTGTTACCCGTTGAATTCAGTAAGCGTTAATTCTTCCTGCTTAACTCGTCGTGTTAATGAGCTATTATATACGTCTAGAGAGCTTTATGCTTCACTAGTGTGGGGCATATTCTGAAATCCCAAGGTTTCCAAGGCTACTTTCGTCTTATGAGTAATTAAGTATTAAATTTATTCCCTAACTTGATGGAAATTGGAGATAGCAGTACTCCACACACCAATAGTGCTTTAAAATGCTACGTAACTGATCCATATTACTGAATTCTTTTTGAAATCCCGCTTCTTCGCACGAACGTCCTTCACCGAGTGTTCTGTGATCGTCGAAGCTCCCAATTTGAGCTTGTAAAGGAAATATAACAGGCTAAAGCGGTAGTTGTCGTTGTAAAGGTATCATTTGTTGTTGTTCTACAACACTGGTCCAGTTCGAATAAGAATGAGAATCTTGCATTTTGATCGATCGCGTCCTGAAACTGATGAGAAATGGCAGTAGGCTCTTCAAATCTTCGGTTCAGATCATGCCAAGAAAAAGTGCTTTACAGTTTTTCAATGAAATTATGGGTCCACCACTGTTTTGGTACCAAAGCCGTACGGTGGCAAATCTCCTGATTCATAAAGACTGCGACTGCCTGTGGTGGTGAAGACCTGAAGCAGCCTTTGGCCAGGCTGATCTCGAGAATCCAGAGAACCATAATGGCTTAACCAACAAATCTCCGAAAAATGGTGATTGTGCTGGGGCCTACCCAACCAGTGAAGACGAACCGTTTGACTGCCAAATAAGTAATGATGTAATACACAACTCTGAAGGGGTGAGTCATTGGAACCATATTCCTATCCTTCCTGAGATAGCATGAAGATAGTGGTTGTCACAACCAGTGGTATCGGACTTGAAGTAGTTTTCCGATTGCAAGAATGAGTCGGCAGTTATTCGGCGTTCGTTCAGCTCTATGGTATGTATCACCCAGAAAAAACCGGTAAAAAAAACATCCGCTCACGTATTTTAGGCTTTTGGCGACTCGTTCCTTTAAAATTCGTCACAGGTTAATGTTGAAGTCTAGACAATGAGTGTCATAAAAGCCGGTGCTATTCCACACCTATGTGGATCGTTGGTGGCTTGGACAGAGAGCCGATGTTCATGGCCGAGTTTATTTTGACAGTTATATCAACTTTCCAGCTTGTCATGCATTCCGTCTAAGAGACTTTCTATGCTAGCACAAGCAACCTGTAGCACACGGTCTCTTCTCGTTTCTTTCAGCCCGATAATGTCATCAGTCGTCTTTTCGTCGTTCATCATCAAATTCTCAATGGTAGTTACTTACGCTACCCTTTGCAAATGGTGTATACAAATAATCATCATTGTGGCTTTCGATTTTCATACTATACTTTTCTGATCTACGAATGGATGCCATCATGAAAACCGCTTTGAACCCCATAGTGGAGACGGGTATACTCACGGGTAACTTACCTAGCCTCAAAGAGTACAAGTGGCGGTTTTGTTTTTGAGTGGAAATGACACCTCGAACATCGTGTCCATATAGTTCTCAGTCATTCTAGATCTTTCTGCTGCTCTTTGATTAACATTGTCACCTTTACTTCTATTGTTGTTATGACCTTGCTCGAGCTTTTTATATACAAACTTGGTCGGTGTTTTTTTACCAGTTCATTCATTTTGCTTAACTTTATTTCCAACCAGGGGTCTCACCCATGGACAGACTTCCGAAATGCCACTTACTGTTAGCACTGGAATAAGCCAAATTAAGAAAGTTGGAAAAACACTACTCGTTAAGGTTGGTTTTCGGCGCCGTTTGAAGGGGGAAAAAACATATATCAAGAAAATATTTTAGAACATGAAAATGTTAACTTTGTCGTTGAAACAAGGATCTCTATGAAGACGGATATACTCGATGGTGTATTCGCCATTACCCCCAAAGCAGAAAAAAGAATGTTTTCGAAATGCGTTCCTATACCATTAGGTCCGACGAAGCTATGATGCACTATAACACTTAGAATCCTATTCTAAAATCCTCAGGGTTCCCCCATCTACTCAACGCCTAATTTTTCAATACTCTTGTTATGACAGGGCGCAGGTGGCGCAGTGGTCGGCGGCGCCCTGCAACACACGCGCAGAACCGATCCTCGCGCCCATGGCTCACCAAGCCCTACATTCTTCCGGGATCGGCAAATTGGTATCAGACTCGTCTGAGAGGATAGCAGCACTGGCTCGATACATCGGTAGGCGACAGCGAGTCATTCTAAAGCCCAGATATGTATCCAATCACCTCCAACGATGCTTAATGAAGTCGAATGCATGACGTATCTCTCAAGTATTGATCAACTTTAGCCGAAAGCTTTATCCTTCTTTATCCTCGTTATGACTTAGTGTCAGCTCATGCCGATCCATGTGTTCACTCATGTGCGACTGGAAGTCTCCTCACATAGGATATTAGGCGTTAACTTTAAAAAAAACTTCAGAATAGTCGATTTGAAGATGGAGAGGAAAACATTGAACGATTTCCAGTTCATGGCTCAGCCAACATGGTTTTCATTTCAGGCAACCATACAAGATCCATTTCCGGCTCAGTGGTTCCAGACTAATCCAATTGGTTTCTAGCGGTTCTTTAAGAGCGACTTTTAAAGAGCGTTAAGACCCTACTTGCATTTTGTGCTAGTATTTCCGTATTTGAAGTAACGTAGTCATCTACCAAATGTTTTGATAAGAAATGTCAATTGTTATGCGTATTACTCTAGTAATTGAAGTAATAACTTTAATAAAAGCTTGCTTAAAACTCACCAACAGATGTGAAAGTGATTATTTCGGTTCTAAAGCATGAAACTTCAGAGGTCAGTCTCGGGAAACATGACAACGTTTCACAGCTATTTTTTTGTCCATCTCTTACAGCAGTTATTAGGATATACTAAAGAAAATGCACAGCTTGCCATCGCCAGTTTTCCAAATACCTGCTGGCGTATGGCACAGAAAGATGCCTTGCGATAGACACGTGATCTTTTGTTCAACTTCGCACCCCTTGTCAGCCAAGCCTTCCATCTATCTGCAGCCGGGAGATTGGTACTGACCTTCTTCAGATGGAAAAGTGACTTGATATGACGATATGGCCTCTCAAGTCACTTTACATGCTAAGTATGCATTGATTCGAGCTACGATACCACGAATGGAGTTGAATGCGTGGGGTATACCTCGAGGATTGAGCAACGTCTAACACTTTATTCACTTCATCCTTTTATCCACTGAGTTCAACAGAAAAAAGTTAGTGGGGGACATGCTAAGATTCTAGTCTAATATGTGTCTTAGGAACTGGTCTTCTTTTACAAGAGGGAAATATTCTGCTGGCAGTTCATCAAGGGATTCCAAAGACAGACTTCCCATTAGCCACGACATTGACCAACTAATTCTCGATATTCTTCTTGTGTAAGCACGAGGTGTTACTTCATTCTTTATTCAGTTAAAGCTGACGTTTCGGGAGCACCGCCTTCTTTAGAGTCTGGAAGTGGTGCAAATCGAAGAAACAATATTTAAAACCACCACTGACTTGCGATACAAAAGATAGTTAGGCAGATGTATGAAAGCTTCATAATCTGTATCTCCGTATATCCTTTCATTTGTGAAAAGTTCCTATGTAACTGGCTAAAGTCTGGCGTGATCCAACTAACGTGACCTGCGGCCAATAAGCCATCATCGTGATGACGTCATTCTGTGGTTATCATTTCGTCTTCGTTGTTCTGCTGATTCTTTCTTTCTTTTTCTCTTTTTCTTCTATGAACTAAATCTATACAAAGTATATGGAACTCCTTCTTTCCAGGTCCAAACCAATGCCTGTACAGTTGGCCAATAACTTGGCAGATCTGCGGTCTAAAATCAATTCGGCCGACTTGAATCATCTGTTTGTTGTGGATTTCTTTGCCGATTGGTGTGCACCTTGTCGTGCGATCGCTCCTCTTTTTGAGCAATTCTCTGGACGATTTACGAATGCCACATTCCTTAAAGTAAACGTTGACTATTCTCCCGGTTAGTTCACCTTACGCTACGATTTTAAACGCCAGTCGCTGCCACATCAGATTGGTAATGTTGTGGCGTCTAGCAGATCTATGACTATTGACCCTTTGAAAATTTGTTTGGAACCGAGCTTTTTCATAATTATCAGTGGCAAGGAAAATGAAAGAAAAGGTTTTCAGTAGGTCTAGCAGGCTATTGTTTTTCTTTATTACTCTGAAATGTCGCACGTGGCGCGGTGGTCGGAGGCGCTTTGCAATACACATGGTGTCGATTCCCGCGCCGCTCTGGCCCACCGAGTCCTCCATCCCTCCGGAGTCCAGATTGGTACCAGATTTATCTGGGAGGATAGCAAGACTGGCTCGATACATCGATTGCATTCAATCATCTCCAACGATAATGAAGTCGAACGCATGACGCATCCCTCAGGGATTGATCAACGCCGAGAGCTTGGTCCTTTACCGTTTATTATTTAAGAAGACAACTATTAGTAACAATGATGTTTCCATGTAACGGGATTTTTAGATATCAGTCGACACTATGGCGTTCGTGCTATGCCGACTTTCGTTTTAATCAAAAAAGGTAAAGAAATGGAACGAATACAAGGTGCAAATCCTCAAGCCTTAGAACAAGCTATAAACAGGTGTGATATTATTACCTTTATAATTTTACATACTACTATCACCAGCTGCAAATCTAGGCATTATTCCTCCACTCCTGCGAATCCCAACGCGGCTTCTGAGAGCGAGAAACGCTTCTTGCAACAATTCGTCCCACAAACAGAGAAGGTCATTTTCATAATCTTTGCAGTATTAAGAGTGACATTGCATTTCTTTGGATTTTGTGTGCACTGTATTCCAGGGCAAGCTTTACTCTGATATTGTTTATAAAACACTAGCATTAAGTTTGATACCTGTTGAGAAGCTGAAGGAGGAATCTACCGGTTCGGATGGTGTTTTGAACACGCTACAGTTAGCAAAAGGTATTCTCTTTATTTCTATGGGTATATTTCTTTTATGTTCACTGGTATCGGAGTGCTAAAATCATCCAAGTGTCAGATAGAAGCGGATAATGCGTTTAATGAAACCAACCCTTAAGGATGCGTCTTGCATCCAATTCGATTAGGCATCGTAGAGGTACTTGAATGCATGTTTACCCAATACAACAACTTACGGAGAGTTACCGATGCATGAAATCAGGGTTCTTGGCTCCCGTGCAAGTGTGATACCAATTTGCCAACTTCGTAGGGTTTGAGGGCTTGCTTTGCCGATGTGGAGTGATCGAAACAATTACACTGTGTATATTGCACTCTGCGTTCCATGCATCTATCTAAATGTCACATACTGCCTTATATGTTCACTAGAATTTGATTTTTTTTGTTTTTTTTTCAAATTTATTGCCGTTCCTATGTTCTTTCAGCTTTGCTAAATTGGTTTAAGAATGAATTCTTCTCGTGGTGCGATAGTCCGATTTGCGATTCTTGCGGCAGCCAAACTGCAAAAGGTTCAGGTTTGAATGGTTGGTTTCTAACGAGTTTCAAATTCTTTCATATGCGTAATGATAGTGACTTGAGGTACTCCAACACCTAAGGAACATGATGATGGTGCAGATAGAGTAGAAATTTATCAATGTTCATGTGGACGGGAAGTCCGTTTTCCTAGATACAATGATCCAGCGAAGCTACTTGAAACACGGTATGTCATCTAAAACCAAATAAAAAACCAAAACTAAAACTAAATTAAGAACGGTTGACGGAAAGGAAAAGCAGGGGCCTGCCTCAGTGGTCTCGTGCGTAGCACATAAGCCGCAGGGAGTGGCAATCGCGGTTCGATCTATGCTTGAGTCGAAGTTTTGCAAATATCATAGCATCGTAGTGGTTGTATTCCACGTAATATCCTCCCGTGGAAAATAATAATAGGCGATAAATGGAAAGTTAAAAAACTAAAACGTTGTAAAACTAAATGATTCTATAAGCGAGAATAGAGATTATGGTGATTTTCGACATTTCCCTACAAGTACTAAGACTCAATTTTAAAGTATACCTTTTAATTGTTCTATGGTTTCGTTTCATATTGTTGCATCTTTGCTTTTAACCGTAACTATTGGGTGTGAATGCTTCTATGGGCTTCAAATCTATGAATTTTTAACATTCCTCCATGTTTTCAACGCTCTGGATCATACTGATGCTTTCTGACTGACAGGAAAGGTCGGTGTGGCGAATGGGCGAATTGTTTTGCACTGATGGCCTCTGCAATGGACTTCGATACACGGTAAGATCATGTAGCAATTCCTTCAAATGTAGTAATTGCTGTGGACTCGTGTGGGACAATGGTTGGAGGCGCTATTGTGACACACACGTGAAGTCGATTCCCACGCCCATGGCCCACCAGGCCTTCCATCCCTCCGGAGTCGGCAAATTGGTACCAGACTTATCTGTGAGGATAGCAGCACTAGGACGATACATCGGTAGGCCACCGCGAGTCATTGTAACGACCACATATGCATCCAATCACTTTCAAACGACGGTTAATGAGCTGGAATACGTGGCTCATCCCTAAGAGATTGGTCAACGCCGAGGACTTCATCCATTATCCTTTTACAGTTATTCCTACTCGTTTTCGTTTTTGTTTATTTTCTTTTTATTCTTATTAAAATGAAAGAGTTCTTGGTGTTTGCCACATATTCCATCCTAGATTTGTTTATGATGTGACTGATCACGTTTGGGTTGAGTTGTGGATAACTGAGTCTGACAATTGGGTTCATTGTGATCCATGTGAAAATGTTGTTGACCGTCCACTTCTTTATGAAAAGGTAATGTTGTGCATAGTTGAATTCAGTACTTAGCACAAATTTGCTTTAATTTCAGGGATGGGGTAAAAAATTAAGCTACGTGTTAGCGTTTGGATTTGACCACGTCTGCGATGTGACATGGCGGTACAGCGTTAATCATAAAAAAACATTGAGATTGCGGAAAAGTGTTCGTGAAGCAGTTCTCAGCAATTTTTTAATGGTAAGATGTTCTGGTTATTTTTTAATAGACCGTTTAAATACCTCTCTCAAATCTCTCTCTTTTCTTACCTGCCAAAATTCAACTCTTTGTCTTCACTTTCAAGTCATTTTTTTAGAAACTAAATACACGAATGGCCGCGGCGATAACTCCTGAGCGAGCGTTAGAGTTAAGGCGACGACGAATACGAGAACTGGTGGATTTCTTGGTAATTGGGGAGAGATTGACGAATGGAGAGGTATACGGTGGTCGAATTTCTGGTGAATTCTTATTTTATATTCTTTTTTTTATACTGCAATGAGATATTCACTCCATCTGATCCTAGTCCAGTGTACACTTTCTGAACTTGTACTGCTGTCCGAAACACTTTTTCAAAATTGCTTTAAGCTGTTTACAAATCGGAGTCACGACTGATTATTACCACTCACTTTATTTGAAGGCGATTTGGAATGGCGAAAGGCACGTTCTGAGTTGGGTCCTACTGAAAAGAAAGAAGACGTTGTGCTTAGTCTAAACGAAGATGAGTTAACGAAGAAAAGGTTCAGGTAACCATTGTTTGCTTTGCTAGGCTTGTACACCACTTAATGAACTGTTTTTTTTTGTCCCTTCACTACTGTCACTATGATGAAAAGTTGTGTTTGTTTTAGTTTGGAGTATAATTGTGCGGAAGATTGTTATACTCGAGGAACTGAAAAAATCGCAGGTTGGTCAACTTTTGCGAACTCTAGTGGATTTATTCAACGAAAAAAAGAGACGGATTGGAAAATGGCATACCTTTGTCGTCAGGAAGGCGAGTCCGATGCAGAGGTAAAACATTTTAGTGAAGTTGTTAGGGCAGTCTGTGATTACAAGTGATGACATAATGTGCACAGTAATATCCTCATGTTATAAACTTTGAAGGTATCATGGTCAATCAATTTGTGTGATGTGACGGTGAAATCCGTTAGGTTACAAGTTTTTGGAACTACTATATTCGAGAGCGGATCCGTCCTTGTGACAGTTTGTGCGGGTGATGTATGTCTTGCGGCTTATTCTTTATTTTAGTTGACTACCAAGATTTGATTCAACTTTAGATATGCTATCCCTTTAAAGAAGGCTCAAATGATTTGTTCCTTGAAGATGTACCATCATCAATCTTAAAAATCAAGGCGAGTTTATCTTTTTTTTCCTTGCAATCACACATGGAAGCCGTGCCTAAGTCAAAAAACGATTGTGGTACGCACGTTACATAATTGTGTTGTATAGTTTTTCTGTGAATTTCTCATTTACAGGCCCATTTATCTGGTGGTACAGGAAGTAATGCGTTTCAACATGCTCAGCTATTTCGAACATCTCTAGACAATCGAGAGTCACAGATGAAAATTGAAATTGAACTTGTCTGAGCTACCAAATTTGCTGTGCTGGTACCTGATAAAATTTTCCAAAATTTTCTTGCAATCTTTCTATTCCCTTCTTATATCTCCTAGTATAATGTTTAGGTGTTTGCGGGTTAAAAATGCTCCATTAATATTACAAGCTGACTTTTTTTGTCCCAAAAAGAGAACGAGTTTGCATCTGTACATTAAGCTGTTCTTCTTCATATCAGTTCACAGCTATAACAACCTTTAACTTTTTGTGATTAAGTATCATGTTTAAGTCATTGCGACATGCTGTTCTAGCTCGTATAGCTGTTCCAAATGCGGTTTTCAATGTGCTGTTTCTTGCTTAATATTAAAAATATATCTGGGATGTTATTTAATCATTTACTTTTAGGAATATTTGTTTCTTTCGAACATGGGTTTTGTTCATAGTGCAATGAAAGCAGTGTGGTTTCTTTTCCGTTATTCATTAATTACTAGTAAATTATTGTGAGATTCGGTTTTTTTCGAGAGCAACTACTCGTACTGCTGCGCACATTTGTTCATATGGATCAAACATTGAAGACAAGGTGTTTGGCGTTGATCTTAGGTATACGCTGTGCCTTTGACTACATTTGCATCATGGGAGGTAGTTGAATGCATATTCGGCTTGCACAATGACTTGCGCTGGCCTACTGATCTTCTAAGTCAGTGTTTACCCTATTGTACCAGTTTACCAACTCTATACGGTTGGAACGGTTTTGCAGGTGAATCAAGGATACAGCTGGAGGAAACATGTAAATTGAGGGACCCTTCGAGTGAGTGGCGTAGGCGTGCTGTGTTTGAAAGTGGAAATAAGCGTGATTACCCTGATGGGAAGTAGAGAAGTGATACAGCACACAGCTCTTTTGGCTATGTTCTGAATTCATCTACAAATGGGTAAAACCTGTAGCACAGTAGTCCCATGTTAAAATTGGTGGTGGTTTGACAGTGCTTCGAGCTTAACAAGCCTCTCGTCCCTCTGGGATCGGGAAATTGGCAGCAGTTTTGTCTGTGAACGGTCCAATTCCTGCAATCCATGGTGGAGTGCTCTAAGGCTGCCCTAGGATTCGAAGGAGAATCGACTTCACTAGAATTCAGCGAAAGGAATGGAGAGGCAACGGTTGAGGCCGCGTGCGAAAAGTTTGGCGACCCTCATTGATTAAGAATGTCAGGAAACGAATCGAGTGCAAGAAATGTTGGGATGAACGCAGCAGATATGATGACGGGTCGTGTAAAATGTAAAAAGGAACTACATGCAGAGATAATGGGCAGTCTGGAGCGTGTGAAGAGCTGACGGGTGCATTAATGACCAATGATATTTGTCAACGTTTAGCACCTTATTTATTCTGGTGGTATAGAATTCTATGGTAGTGTTGAATTACTTAAAGGCGTTACTAACTATTAGATGGTCTCGGGAAAATTTCGTCTACAGGTAAGAGAGTACGGTAGGTGAAGAAGAGTTTCAAAGGCAAGTTAATTCAACCACTGAAGGATCTGCTGTTCAACGTATGATTTGATATTGTTTTGCAATGGACCAGGTAACTTCTGTACATCAATGTCAGAACCTGTTCCTTTGCACTTTTAGGAATTGGAAACTATGTCATTAAAAGGATAAAGGATAAAGCTCTCGGAGTTGATCAATCCTTGAGGGATGCGGCATGCATTCGACTTCATTGAGCATCGCTTGGAGGTAATTGAATGGACATCTGGCTTGTGCAATGACTCGCGGTGGCCAGCTGATGTATCGAACCAGTACTGCTATCCTCCCAGACAAGTCTGGTACCAATTTGGCGACCGCGGAGGGATGGGAGGCTTGGTGAGTCAGGGTCGCGGGGATCGATCCCACGTGTGTGTCGCAGGGCGCCTCCGAACACTGCACCACATGCGCCCATACTATGTCATTAGCAACAGATATTTATTATAAGATGTGTTTCTAGAATTCGTAACGAAAAGAGGCTACCATTTTTGGGCTAAGATAATGGCTAGATGTTGATGATGCTTACCATGAGAAAAGCTGCTCAACGATATAGAGTACGCGAGATATCTTAAACGATTCAAAACAACCGTTCGATACTGATTTTTAACTCAACTTCAAGTGTTCTGAATAAATAGAATAAAATAGACTGGAACTGGGAAGAAAAAAGGTTTTTAAAATCTTAAGTATTCTTGAGCGGTCCCAAGTGGCGTATTATCAAAGATGTTTTTTTCGCAATACCGCCTGGTTTAATCCAGGTCCGAGTCAAAAAGCCTTCCTATCCTTCGGGGTCGGTAAATTGGTACCAGATTTCTCTGGGAAACCTCCTCTTAATCTACAAAGACTGCCGACTATCCGTGCTTAAGACCCGAGAACGCATTAGCATGTCTATTTCAGGATTCTTGGGAGAATCCTCCAACATTCATGAGTACTCATGAAAGACAACCGTTGCCAAGGATCCGCCGAAGCCGCACGTAAATCCAGAGGATTTCGTGGCTAATGAATGTGAGAAAACCAATGGAATGCGAGATGTGTTGTGATCCACACAGCATGTGATGTTGGGTCGTAAATAACGAATTTTACTTTGCCTTTGAGTTAAGCACAGCGATGCTCTTTTTTAATTCTTCGACACCATTGAGTCCAAAATGAAGTGGGAAAAGTTAAACGGCAATTAACAGAGTGTGTTGAATTTTGTAGGAATCCCCGTTCCCTCTTAATGCAGTTGTATCGGACCCATTCAACTATCAGTACTTCAAAATATTTTCTGATTCATTTCGCTGGAAAGACTCTTCTCAAACAGTAGTTTCATACATTCTTCGATTGCCAGGCAGACATGATGTTGATAAAAACGCTTATTCTACTGAAAATATACTTTTATAACTTTCCGGGCTTTCCTAGCTTTTTACTCAATCTTTCCAGGCTCTGAGGAAGGTGAAATCCGTCAAAACGTCAACTTCTCCATCAATAATGAACAAAGTCACAACTCTCGTTTGCTCAACAAGAATATAAAGAATTATAATGCTAACTTTTTATTTGATGTCTTCTACAATCTTTTCATGGCAGGGCATTATGCGAGAAACAACCACAATGGTGCTGAGATATTTGCAAAACTCAGACCGCAGGTGTCTGTAGTGGAGAACGAACGCGCTATTGCCCTTTCTGGAGCTAACGTGCTCACCACCACACCATGTGGATCCTTCGTTTCCCTTGCTATCAATCACGACAACAGGTGACTGCTGATGGCACTGATCGATAGAGGACTAGCTGAGAGAGGCGAAACGATGGAGCTGCCTGGTGTGGTGGTGAAAGCGTTAGCTCCAGAAAGGGCAATAGCGCGTTCGTTCCCCACCACAGACACCTGCGGTCCGGGGTTTTGCAAATATCTCAGCACTATTGTGGTTATAAAGAATTATGGTTTCATTGTCTATCAAAGATAAGCTCGTAGAGATTTTATGTTCGTTGAATATTGTAGTGTAAAACTATTCGGATGATGATTCATGACTATTTACAGTTGGATACTTTACATTCTGAACTTTTACAGTTTATATCATCCACATAAAATTTATAAGCTCTAGAATCTGCAGCTTTACAATTTGCAAACAGGACACATCTAACCGGATTTTTCCGGCCGTCATCATCAAGTGGAAGAGACAGCTCAAGCAGCAACCAACTGAGCTAGGCCTACCTCCGTTATGTCACTTCACACCGAGTTCTATCTCTTCGTGTTGATCATACAACCTGGGCAGGACTTCTCTATCTCGGGTGCAAGCACAGATCAGATATTCTGAATAACACCCATGGTACACCATATGAATGGTTTCTCGTAACGAATACACAGGAAAAATAGCTTTCCCATGAAAGCAACTCGTTAAGATTTTTTGTAGCAGAGGCCAAAATCTTCAATCCAAGAGGATGAGGGGTAGAAAAGTAGTCATTTTAAGGGTTCATCATCTCGATCTTCTGCGTTAGAAGATCAGTATTATGAGCTACAAGTTCACAACATCGACAACTACCATTCGAAAAATAATTTGTTCTATATTCTACTGTTGTGTAAATCTGATCACATAGGAGTACACACAGCTGGAAGCTTCATTCAATCGATTAAACAAATCGGGAAATTGAAGATAACCGGACTGCATCATAATCTATCATATCTCTCGTTGAAGCGGAATCCGAACCCGAAATCATAACGGGATTGCAAGACAATCAGTTCGTTATCCTTGGTTGTTCACAATGTAGACGTTCACCTTTTATCACTGAAGTCAACTCATCATTGCTTATGTTGCTAGTGAGTATCAGATATCGATTTCTACTCAGTCGTACTCCCTCCATTTTTTGAAAATTTCTCATTGTGCAATTATATCCATATTGTATATCCAGCCCTTTTTCAGTTTTATTTTTTAATTGTTTTGTCAATATTGAAGGCGTGTTTAGCGCAGTTTGTAGCGCCCTACAAGACGCACGTTCTCCTTGGTTCTATTCCGTGCCCCTGGCCAAGTAAAAGCGTCTTCCTTTCGTGTTCCGAAAATTGGTACCGAACTTGTCTACGTAATTAAGAACAATAACTTGGTAACTTCCATGACCGACTTTCTATTAATTTCGGCATTGAGCAAAAGTTTGTCGTTTTCTTGATAACACAAGCGAAATTGGTGGAATAGTTTTTTTTTGAAGAAAGCTGACGTTTCGCCGGATTTCCCAAAAAAAAAAAATCTGGAGCTTCAGAACCATGATCACACGCCAATCAAAAACACTAGTGTGCAAAATCCTCGAAGCATCTAAGAATCCATGAACGAATCGCAGGGAGAAATGTCTCGTTATCACACATGATATCTCACACAATATCTCGGACTGATATTTTAATGTGAGAGAGGCACATTACCGATCCAAGTGGAATCTGTACGGTTGGTCTCCACGTGGAATACTCTGTGGTTCCCACTGCGACTGAAACCTAGTCCTCTCGATTTTCTGTTGGCGTTGTGGAGGTACTTGGCCGACCAGGTTACCCTAAACATGACCTTCCCAGGCTCTA